GGGGGGGGGGGAAGGACAGGAGGTATATTTAGGAACACTGAGGGAGACCTCAAACATGTTGTACTTACACATAAACATACACATAAAATCTATTTGATGTAACGTGTGTATATATATATATATATATAGTTTTACCTACAATTAATTTATGTCATAAATATGGTCATAATCTTATTAGGAATAAATGATCTGCTTCATATACTGGTTGTAGGTAAACAGTGTTGGTCATACTGGAGTACTGGGACACCCAAATATTTCCAGATGGTCTTTGTTAACAACAAAAGGTCAAGAATCACTGTGCTCAGTCTTTCGGAACTAAATACTCACCAATATGGAGCTTTGTCTGGGTTTCATACAGTCAAGTCCTACAGAACGTGAATAAATAAAAAGAACCAGGGTTTATATCAGAAGGTGAGTGAGCTGTCATATCTCCAGACATAAAGGATATTTGTAAAAACAACAACAACAACAACAAAAAACACAATTGTTGGATGCAGTCACAGCAGGGGCAGGGTTACGCCACCTGTGCACAGTTGTTGACAATCTTCCACTGTTCTAACAGAAAAGTTAAAAATAAAAAGGAATAAAACAAAATGTAATTTTAGCAAACAATGTTTGTTACGGGGAAACAGAATTTAAATCAGCCAGCACAGTTCTACATCGACTTCAACAAAACCTGCTTCTATGAAGGGTTATAGGTTGAAATACTTTAGAATCCATATACAGATATATTTGTTAATAATATGCATGTACAGTGCACATACTGTAGCAGTAAGCATGCATGCCTTGCAAGCAAAGAGCAGAGTCCTGGGTTTGATTCGATATGTACCACCTAATGACACCTCCCCCACTTGTAAGTTGCTTTGGATAAAAGTGTCTACCATATGCATAATACACACATTTAAATTCGAAATCATAGGATATTACTTCGAAAATGGTAATTAGTTTAATTAACTATATTATATATAAGGCATAAAAAACCAGATTCTTTTCTTTAAGTGCAAGATGTTTTAATATTCTGCACATAGACCAACATTGAAGTATTTACTCATCTTTTAACTGAGACCAAACAATATACAGTATATAAAGCTCAACAAAAACCAAACCTCTATCGTCACCACATTAGTGCGCTTCACTTCCCTGTCCATTGATTTGTCAAAGCTGCTGTTAGTTGCTAAGGTTACAAAGGCTCACTTTGGATTGCGTTGTATCTTCATTCCACACAACAGTCATGGCAACCGTTGCCCACGGAAACAGTTATTTATGTACTATGCAAGAAAATAGCAGTAATGCTAAGCATGCATTCAAGCTCTTAGTGTACAGGACATAAATATATTCAGTCTTTTTTTTTCTCTAAGGCAAGTGTATGTACAGGGGATAACATGTCCAGCACACTTCTGGAAATGAGACTTCAAGTCTTCACTTAGAAACAGAACAGTAAAGTTCTGATACCTGCCGTCTCTCCTTCTATTTCTCCACTGTCTGTTTAAGACAAAAAAAAAAAAGTCATCACATAAAGATTCTGTTTAAGATATCTTCTCTTTACACATCTCGTGTTACCATCATGCATCATGGCTTTCATTATATCCTTATTACTTTACAATTTTACACAGATACAAAGAGAATTCAGTTCAAAGAAGAGTGGACTCCAGTCCTAGAACAATACTCACATCTTACATCCTGAGAATTAAAAAATATATATACAAGAAAAATCACATGGAGTCATTCAGGTGGATCGGAGAGATCACTGTGTAATTATATTCATAAAATCATTAGAGAGTGCTGTTCTCTTACTTTCAGTAAAATAAAAAAACAATGACATCACTCCAGATTTGGTGCATTTCATTGAGAGTGAAGGCAATTGGGCCCTGGAAATGGTTAAACATATAAAACAACACAATGTCCTTTTTCTTCATCCTGTTTGCACCACAGACTTTATATAAGAAATGGATCTTACCCTATGATTACAGGAAAGAAGGGAAGCTATATTAGTAGGACCAAGAATAAGTCCAGGTAGAAGGTCTATCTACTCTAAGTATTACCAAGTCCCAAATATTTGACTTGAACTACATAGAAGAGCTACATCTTCACCTTTTCATGGTCCTGGTCCATTTCTCATATATGGTCTTTGGCATAAATGTCTTCATTCAACAGGCTGCTGGAATGACAACAGTTTGTCAAAGCAGTAGAATCAAAATGTGCAGCCATGCTTAACCCTTGACTCAGAGTCATGGGAAAACCGACTGTGGCATTAGTGATCATCTTACACTTTTTAAACATTTCACATGCTGCAGTGATCACAGGTATGGGGGAAGAAATACTAAATATAAACATTAAACAGACAATATATCATTTTATTAGTCTTTGTCACAAACTAGACTCCTCTTCCTAACATAAATGTACTCAAAATAAATGCATCAAATCATTAAATATATATTTTCTATCATCTATTTTACTTGACAAATACTGACGCTGAAAATCACAGTAAAATATTTGCCTAATTTGGTGCTTGAAACTTTAGGTTCTCTCCTTGTCTAAAGGAATGATCTGTGGTGCAGTGTGGATGTGGTCAGTGTTATTATTAGTGCAGGCTCTCACAGTTCAATTTCTTTTTGTCTTAGATCCTACTGTGTAAAAAGGGACAATTTTGACACTCCCCACTTTAACTTTAAAATCAATGGACAGTCAAACCAGCAGGTCTATGTCCTTGTCAAAAAACAGCCTGCTCTTCCATCATCACAGGTCAAAAGAAATACAAAGGAATCTCAATTCACAGCTCCCAACTCTGAGCCTATTTCTACCCACGATTCATTGCTCTCCCTCAGCCCCTCCCTGATGTCTCAAAGTGACGTATCCTGGTGGATCGACTGCAGGCAGCCCAGCAGTGTGTAATACGGACTGCCTGGCGAGGCCACTGCCTCAAAGACAGACTGGAATGCCCGGCGGTCCAGCTCCTCGTCAATCTGATGTCGGTAAAAATCCATGGCTACCAGACAGAACAGATTAGTGTCCACCACTTCACTGGAGCCCATTCTACTGATGACGTGTGGCAGTCTGTTAACAGCAGGTAGAGTTAAAGGAAAAAATAAACCAGACCACATTTATTAACATGTCTACTGTGGTGTGTGCATTACAGCAGCACACGTGTCATCTTCATGAATTTTCTGTTCCTAATGGGGTCATGTCAAACCACATGAATATTTTAGTGTTTCCTTTAATCAGCTAAAAATAATCTTCCCTCTCTAGTGGTAACGCTGGAACCCCCTCGCCCCCAAAAGACTTTTAAATCTAAACACTTAGAATCCCAAACCAATGATTGTATCTTCATGGTTCAACAAATTTGCACATCAAAAACTGAGTGAAACTATGTTCATGACTAGGTGATCATTATAATTTGGTGTGTGTGTGTGTGTGTGTATGTGTGTGTGAGAGAGACAAACAACAACCTCTGGAGGTGTGACATGAGGTAAGGATACAAGGCTGAGATCCACTGAGAGGTGGAGGCAGAGACAAAGAAGCAGGACAGGCTCCATATGGCCATGGCCACTGGTGTCCTCTGAGTGAAGTTGGACAGAGACAGTAAGACCCAGTCTCTAACCATGGACGACTGCCCTGTGGCATGAAGGATCTGGAAGACCTGGAGGTGGGCACAATGGAAAATAACTTAAGATGAAGCAGCAACAGGTTTGAAGTAAAACAGGAAAGAAACAAGAATTTTGAATGAAGCTGCTTCACGTTGTGTTCCACTACAGGAAACAACTGAAGAATAAAAGCACAGGTTTTCATAGTCAATGCCTGAAGCAGTGACTTAAAACAGGACTTCAATCTGACTCTTCTAAGCTTCAGCTTAGCTCCCTCATTTTTTTTTTAGAAAGGAGGAAAAATCGGTTTTGCTGCTGACCTTATACACCACTGTTGCCATGAATTGTGGGTAAGGCTGCTGATTGGACAGGAACTCTCCGATGACCTTGTTCATGACATCCTGTGGTTGGAAGAAGTCGTCCAGGAACTGGGGCAGAATCCTGGACACCACCCGGGCCTCACTTGGTAAACCCTTCCTGATCCTGTTAACAGGAAACAGCAGCAGTGACAACGGCAATGGTTTGTTCATCTATGCTATACCCCTCTTAAAATATTTGCAGATACAATTCAACAACCATACCAGAGTGTTACATGGTTGGTGTTTAGATCTCATGAAAAGTCAAACAGAGACATGAGTAGGATATTTGAATAACCAACAATGAGATTTTGGTTTAATTTGTGTTGTGCTGAGACCGATGCAGAGAGTAAACCCTCTCATCATCCAGCCTGTTTGGAAGCGTTAGAGTAGGAAACAAACACACATGCACATGGCAATTTATCAAGGCCAGAAAAACTATCGCCTTCATTTTCAGTTATCATGCATTCAATGGATTTATTGATTATCGCCCCAGGCCTACTCCTTGGTTAATACATAACTAGCATAAATCAGATAGTTGAGCAGAAACATGTAGAGTTTGTGCAGGGGTTTGTGTGCGTTACCTGTCAAACAGCACAGAGACCCTCTCCATGGCCACGATGATGGACTCACTATCTGGAGCTTGAGGGTCTGCATGAACCGGGCGAATGGCAGGGCTGGTTTTCTCCTTTCCTGAGGAGAGACCAACATGACCTGCCGTGACGCCCATCGCCTCCGCTACAGCAGAGCTAGAGTCAACCTGACCTCTAACCCCTGTCACGTCTGAACCAGACGCAAGCACCGCTGAGGGGACGAGAAGGGGGGGGTGGGGGTTGGAGTCAGTCGGAACGGTGGGGATGGGGTGAGTTAGAGTTGGGTTTACATTCAGATCAGAATTTCAGTGAATTCAAATGTGGAAAATTTGAGGGAGTTTTTCTGGTCAAATATATCTCTACATCTAAAAGACTGGTGAGCTACATCAATTCCCAGATCAATGTTTTACAGTAGATTGCACATTTGCTGAAAAAAACTTGCTGCAAAAGAACCAGTTTGCAGAGGTTTCCATGTTTGATAAACTTTAGAATTGTTAGCTAGCTCTTAGCAACAGAACCAACTAGAACAGTAGGCATAGAAGTCAGGTTCAATCATGTTAGTAGGGACAAAAGTAGGGGTTAGAGGTAGGGTAGAGCAAGTGTTTTTTGATGCAGCCACAAGTGTTCATTCCATACTTAAAATACCTACCATATACATAAATATATTCCCTCTATGATGCATTTTCTGGACAGAACGCTCCAGTGCAATGTACAGTCAAGAAAATACAGAAGCCATGTTTCTGGAGTACCAAAGAATTTTTGCAACTAAGTGATGTACAGAATGAGATTCAGTCAAACTAAACCTGTGAGGCAAAAGCTGACTGTTGTGCTAACAGCACATTAGGTATTGTTCAGTATAATGCATGACTAAAAAGGCTGAGCTTGGAAAGGAGCACAGGGAAGAGATGGGAGGTATAAATGAAAAGACGAACGTTGTGAAACACAAACGTGACAAACAATCATGCAGCACAGTTAGCCACTTAGCTTAACGCAAAGCTGAAAGTTTGCAAGTGTCAGGCGCGGAGTCAAAAGAGCAATAACAGAAAGCACCAGGTCCCTTTAATGTACGTCTCGTAATTTTAACTATGAATGAATACTGTCAAAGCCATAGTAGAACATACCAGTGTACATGCAGGTCAGCATGAGGCCCAGTGCAGCCATGGCCCTGTGTGGTGATGGCATGTTGACTCTGTCCACGCTCAGTTTGACCAGTGCTTCTCCGTCCACACGTGATAACTGCTCAGACAACAGGAGGCGCTCCAGACCACGTAGCACACAGTGATAGATGATGGAGGGGGTGGAGTCTTCACTGGCCGACACCATCACACCACATAACTGAAGGACAGCATTAAACCCAGGGCAGAGAGTTGAGTTGCTAGTGTAAACCACTTAATTACTTTGGTTTTATTTTCATATAATTTTGAATGTGAACAACCTGAATGACTCCAGCCATGAACTCAGGTCCTACATCCAGAGGGTAGTTCTCCATCATGTAGAAAGCTACGGCACACATCACTAACACATGCTGCTGGTTATGTAGGTTCACACAGCTGCAGCAGAGACAGGAGTTACAGTGAATGGAAAGACTTTACACCTGGTGGCCAAAAGTGTGCACAACAACTGACACGACATGTTGAAATTAGATTAGACATGACACTCACTGAGCAATAGCCCTGAGGTTGGACACCAGATACTCTGAGACAATGGGAATGAGCTGCTTGGCCGTGTCATCCAACAGATCACACTCTAACACATACAGAACACCGTGCAGTGCTCCCATGCGACTTGGTAAGTGGGTGCTGCGTAGGGTCGTCTCCAGCAGGCGACACACAGGCTCAGCTATCGCTTTGTCCTGCACAAAGGTTCATTAAGGTTTTGTTGATGAACTGAGGAGATTCGTAACCAAGTTAACTAACCAGCTTCAACACATTACAAAGCACACATTCTACCATGGTATGAACTAAAGTCTGCTCACCATGCCCAACACTGCAGCAGCCTTGCAGATGGCAGGCACCAGGTACTGATTGAGAATTTCATCCTCTGGTGGATGAAGCTTCTGCAGTTCCATCAGGGTGTGGAACATCATGTCAAACTGGTTCCTCTCAGTGAAAAGGTCCGACACTGCCAGCAGCTGCAGCACAGAAGATAAAGCAAAGGGTGGAGTGATTACCATGAGCCAGCATTGGATTTTCCAAAAAAAAAAAAAAACATTAATGATGTTAAGACATTACAGTATGTTCTTTGACCTTTAACCTTGTCCATTTGAATTCTCACACCTGCTGGATACAACAGACCCAGTGATGTACCAAAGCCTCATTTCTGCTCCATTTACATATGCAAATAAGTAACATCATGGCCCACATGCCCTCATTACATTTGGTATTGTATAGCATTTGGCAACCAGTCCACTAAAGACAGTAGTGAGTTAATTTCCAGACTAATGTCAGTTACTGTGAAAATGGAGGAAGTGGCGATAAGACAGCAATGGTCTCTGTGGACATTTAATTCAGTGCAGCTTTGTCTTCTTGCTCTTCCTTTTATGGGAAATGCTATAAAGTGCTATATAAAGTTCTACTGCACAACACCATCCCCACACTTCCCTGTGGTACAACTGCAGTTCATTGATAGGGGTTTGCGTATCCAAGCTATCTCTAAATGTAAATTAAAGTCGTAGCAAACGCACAACAGATGAGAGTCTTTGGATGTCTTTAACGTTGAGGATAAAAAAAAAAAAAAAAGTCTTCACTGGTGAAACCTGACTTGCTCTACTTCTTCTCTCCCAAGGCTGTTTGATGTTTACTCTACTACACTCTTAGGTAAGTCGTAGTCTTTTATTGATATTAACAAAGTTACTGGTTCATAAACTCAAATACTACCATGTACATCAACTCACCGAACGAACCACTTCACTAATAAGGATGGTGGGAATTCTTCTGTTGCATGGGGAACCAGGGATCAACCACTGGCTGTAGAGCTCTAGGAGGAACTGAGAACATGAGTGGATGTCCACACCTGCACGGTGCTTCCTGAAAACACAACAGATGAAGAAGTTAAAACGTATTCCAGCACAAAGGTCATACAGTGTTCAGCAGAGAAACACAGCGCTTCAATGGTCTGACCTGGAGTTAATGGGAGACAATGGTGGAGAGGCTGGTGCTGGAGTGTCCACCTCATCTTCCTCATCCTCACCCCACTCTTCTTCCCTCAGGGGAGTGATGTTGTTTCCCAACCACACTGAGTGAATGGAGACCTACAGATGTGAAGTGGAAAATTACATGAAGAATTTCACTGTTAAACATAATATTTGGAGTTAAGTTCCAGATCATCTGTCAGTGTCGTGCCTTTATTACCTGTCCCAGTTTGTAGTCCATGTTTCCCATCTCCCTCTCAGTATTGATCTGAAGCAGCAGCTTCTCGTGGCTGATCAGCGTT